CCGCCCCGCGCCGGCTCCGCGGCTCCGCAGCTCACGACCGCCCGCCCGGCGCCGGGCAATGGCGCTGCTGCGGGACGTGTCGCTGCAGGATCCGCGCGACCGCTTCGAGCTGCTGCAGCGTGTGGGGGCCGGGACCTATGGCGACGTCTACAAGGTGCGCCAGGCGGCCGGACGCGCGGGAGAGCGGCGGAGAGGGTGCCGGCTCTGCGCCCCACCGCGCATCCAGCCCCCAGCCCCGCCCCCTCCTCATTCCGCTTCACCTCCTCCGCCCCTGCAGGCCCGCGACACGGTCACGTCCGAACTGGCCGCGGTCAAGATAGTCAAGCTAGACCCAGGTGAGGGCCCGGGGCCAGGGCCTCTGCGCTGGAGGGAGGGTAGAGCGCCGGGCGGGCGCTGAGAGTTGGCCCCCTGAGAGGCAGGCCCCAGGGTACTGTCACTTGGGATCTTTCTGGCCTGGATGTGCCCATTTTGCAGATGGGGGCACTGAGTTAGAGCAATCCGTATGCGCCCCCCCCCCCCATGATTCCCTGTGCTTCCCAGGGGACGACACCAGCTCCCTCCAGCAGGAAATCACCATCCTGCGTGAGTGCCGTCACCCCAATGTGGTGGCCTACATTGGCAGCTACCTCAGGTGAGGCTGCTTCATCCCCTTGCCTATCCCCAGGCAGCCCCCATGTGGCCCTGCCATGTGCCCACCCCAGTTCTGTGCCCCCCCCCACCAGGAATGACCGATTGTGGATCTGCATGGAGTTCTGCGGAGGGGGGTCCCTGCAGGAGATTTACCACGGTGAGGGCCAGGACTCCAGGCCCCAGAGGGCCACAGCCTTTTCCCAACCCACCCTTCCCCAGCATGGGGCAGGAGAGGAGAGCTGAGGTCCTGGGCTTGGGCCCTTCTCCACTCCTCACTGGCTGTGTGACCTTGAGACATTGGTGTCCTTCTCTGGGCTCTGTATCCCAGGCTGTGCAGGGAGGGGATGTGGCCAACACCTCTTTCACCTAGCAGTGCCTGCTGCTTCCCCCCACACAGGGTGGCCTGGGAAGGTCAGCATATCCTCCCGACCTCCATGCCAGTCTTCACCCCTTCCATTTCAGCCACCGGGCCCCTGGAGGAACGGCAGATTGCCTATGTCTGCCGAGAGGCACTGAAGGTAGCTGGGCCCTTACGGCTGTTCACACCCCCCTCCCCAGGAGCTGTGGTCAGGGAGCCCAGCTGGCCTGGCCAGTGCGTGCCTCTGTGTGTGTGTGTGTGTGTGTGTGTGTGTGTGTGTTGGGGGGGTGGAGTGCCTCAGGCAGAGCTGGCCTGAGGGGCTGTGGGTCCTGGGGGGGAAGGGGCCCCAGCCCTGTTGCCGGAAGCAGCACATTTCCCTCTTGGCTCAGTCACTTCCTGTTTGGGGAGAGGGGAGGAGGAAGCTGCTTGGGTGGGGGGCCCCAGTTGCGAGAGGGGGCTCAGGAAAGGGGAGATAGTCCTGGGTGGCTGTTCTCAGGAGCTCCTCTTTGTCCCCAGGGGCTGCACCACTTACATTCTCAGGGGAAGATCCACAGAGACATCAAGGTAGGGATCTGGCCAAGGACATCCTGGGAGGGAGGAGGAGGCTCTTGGGGGCACCAGATGGGATTCTCTCTCCTCCATTCCCACAGGGAGCCAATCTTCTCCTCACCCTCCAGGGAGATGTCAAGCTGGGTCAGTACCCCGGGGACACAATCAGGGTGAGGGTTCTGTGGGAGCTTATGGAGTCTTAGGGTCTGCATTTAAGTGCTGGGTGTCCTTGAGCAAGTCACTTTACCACTTAATCCTCAGTTTCCCCATTGAGAAAGTGTTACCGTCCTCCTTCCCTGCTAGAAGTTGGGTGTGGTTGGGTCTGTATGGAGTCTAACCTGGGACTACGCACTTGGTGAGGGAGAGAAGGTAGTTGACCCCTCCCGGAGGGGGCCCTGGCCTTGCCTTCAACGTGTGGCAGTTGTGGCTGAACCTGGGCCGCCTGCTCTCTGAACCCTTCAGGTGCATTCCGAGCCTCAGCCCTGGAGGTGGGTGGGGAGTGGTAGCCAGAGGGCGGGTGGGAGCAGCTCTTTCTCCCTGCAGCTGACTTTGGGGTGTCAGGTGAGCTGACGGCATCTGTGGCTAAGAGGAGGTCTTTCATTGGGACTCCATACTGGTGAGGCTGTGCCTTGGGCTGAGGGGGTGGGGGGGGGCACAGGTCGGGCACCTGGCCATCCCACCTGTGACCCCCTCTCTAGGATGGCCCCAGAGGTGGCCGCTGTGGAACGCAAAGGAGGCTACAACGAGCTCTGTGACGTCTGGGCCCTGGGCATCACCGCCATCGAGCTGGGCGAGCTGCAGCCCCCTCTATTCCACCTGCACCCCATGAGGTCCGCTGAACACTTACTTGCCCCTTGCCTGACCTCCAGGGCACTGCTGACCTTGTCCCCTGACCTCGTGCTCTGTTCCACAGGGCCTTGATGCTCATGTCGAAGAGTAGCTTCCAGCCGCCCAGGCTGAGAGATAAGACTCGCTGGTGAGGGCCTACATCCCCCACTGGGGCCTCCTTTCCAGCAGTCTCCACGGGGGCAGAGAACCTGCCAACTCCCAGGGTGCAACCTGAGGAGCCCCGCACTCTCAGCCTTTGTGGACCGTCTGTGGGAGGGGCCTGAGCCCTGCCCCTGGGCCGGGGGACTGGTGTGGGCAGGGAGGAAGGACAGATGGTTATGATAGAGGAGCTGCTGTGCCCCAACAGCAGGATTGCTTAGGCCAGCTGCCCTTGGCTTCGGTCTGGCTCCTTCCTGAAGCAGACTCCCTCCTCTGGAGCTCGCAGGATGCCCCACATGAGGGCTAACCTGGGTCTGGGGGCGGGGGCTCTTGTGCCCACTAGGACCCAGCATTTCCACCACTTCCTCAAGCTGGCCTTGACCAAGAATCCCAAGAAGAGGCCGACAGCAGAGAAGCTTCTGCAGGTGGGAGATGGGGGCAGGGCAGGAGCCTAGGTGTTTGCAAGCAGGGGCCTGGAGGCCAGGAACCAACCTGTGCCCCTCCCCCCCAATCCTCCAGCATCCATTCACAACCCAGCACCTCCCTCGGGCTCTCCTCACGCAGCTGTTGGACAAAGCCAATGACCCCCACCTGGGAACCCCCTCCCCAGAGGACTGTGACCTGGAGGTAAGTGAGGGGAGCTGAGGAATGGATCTTGGCCTGGCCAGGTGGTAAGGAATGCAGACGTGATATGGATCAGGTCCCTTTAACTTGCGAATTTCCAGCACTGGGAGCTTTCCTCCAGGCGAGCCCACCCATTAGAAATTTTCCCTGGGCCCATCTCGCCCCCGGTACCCCTCACTTGATAAATTCCTGTGCTTGGCTTAAGCTGACCTGACCCTAGCTTAGCTCTCTTCTGGTTTTTATGTGTTCTTTGGCCAGTTATTTGCTTCTCTGTGGTGGTTTTCTCATCTTTAATCTTACAATAATCTCATAAAGTTGTTGTAAAAACAAAGTGTGGGTAAAGCACTTCCAGTGATACCTGGCGGAAGGCAAGTGCTGGGTGTGTGTCAACCGTTGGTGTTTGTGTTCTTTCCTAGACTTACGACATGTTTCCAGACACCATTCACTCCCGGGGGCAGCACGGCCCGGCCGAGAGGACCCCCTCGGAGATCCAGTGTGAGTTTGCTCGAGGTTATGTGGGTGTGTGTGTGGGGGCTATGTGTGGATTTGGTGGGGGGCTGTGTGTGTGGATCCGGTGGGGACAGTGCATGTGGATCTGGTGGGGGGCTGTGTATATGGACTTGGCTGGGGAGGGTGTGTGTGTGTGGATCCGGTGGGGGGCCTGTGTGTGTGGTTGGTGGAGGGGGCTGTGTGTGTGGATTTGGGGGGAGCTGCGTGTGTGGATTTGATGGGGGGCTCTGTGCGTGGATTTGGATTTGGTGGGGGCTTGTGTGTTTGGTTATGGTTGGGGGCTGTGTATGTGAATTTGGTGGGGGGGTGTGGACTTGATGGGGGTGCTGAGTGTGGATTTGGGGAGAGGCTGTATGTAGAGTGGGGAGCTGGTATTTGGATTTGGTGGGGGGTTGTGTGTGGATTTGGTAGGGTAGCTGTGTGGACTTGGGGGGCTATGTGTGGATTCGGGGGGCTGTGTATGTGGATTTGGTGGGGGGTGCTGTGGTGGGGGGGATCTGGGGGGTGGCTATGGCGGAGGCTGTGTGTGTCTGAATCTGGTGGAGGGGGCTAGGTGTGGGGATCTGGTGTGAGTATGGGGGTCAGTCGGAAGGCCGCCTTGCTAACTCGTGTACCCTGGGCCCCCCAGTTCACCAGGTGAAATTTGGCGCCCCACGCAGGAAGGAAACAGACCCACTAAATGAGCTGGTGAGGGGGCTGGTGGTGCAGGAGGGGCGGTGCGCAAGGGCGGCCTAGGGAGCTGGGCTAGAGGTGGAGCGCCTCAGATCCCTGAGGCCCGTGACACTGAAAGGGGGGGCTCCTTCCTGGGCATGGTGACCTCACCTTTCTAAAAAATGGGCCTATCGCGGACTTGAGCCCCCATCCCACCCGCTCAGCATGGTTCTCTCTGCCGGTTCTGTGTCTTCGCCCAGTTGTCCGACCCACCAGCTCTGGCTCTTGCTGCCCGTCTGTCCCCTCTCACCGTTTGTCTGTCCTCCTCTTTCATAGTTTCTTTGCCTCTCCTTGTCTTTCTTACAATTTTCTCGCCTGTTACCATGTCATTTTTCATCTGTTTGTCTGTTCTTTCTTTCCCACAGTCTCTCGGTCATCCTCTAATGTGGCTTTTCTTCTCTCTGCCTCTCTTTTGGTTTTTCTGATTTGGTTTCCCTGCAGTGGGAGGAGGAGTGGACACTGCTGGGAAAGGAGGAGCTGAGTGGGTGAGTGAGGCAGAGGGAAGCTACAGGGGAGGGGTGAGTGAGGCAGAGAGAAGCTATAGGGGAGGGGTGAGGGAGGGAGAGGGAAGCTACAGGGGAGGGGTGAG